AAAACATCATCTAAATCACAAATACAATTTTCGAAGTGTGTTAGCTAGATAAACTCATTTTACTCTCTACCTTTCACAGATAACACAGAAAAAAGGTTCAGTCGCTTCAGACCACAGCACAAAGAGAGTGTCGTAAGAATAAAAAGCGGGGGTAAACTGAGGATCATTTAGATTAAGGTTTTATATTTAAAGAGAGAAAGAAAAAAAAAAAAAGGAAAAAATACCTCTCAGGCCCCCACTGCCGCTGTCAGCTTACTTCAGTGATTTCCACCCCTGATAAGCTATCACCTACCTGGGGCACTTTTAAAAAATTCAGATTTCTGAAAATAGTGGTCTGAACACGTGTTTATCTCTACACTTCCTCTTCAAACTCTATCGAGAAATAAAAACAGTATAAACTCATATGAACAAGAAGAAGGAGAAGGGAGATAAAGCTGATGAGATGCTGACAAAATTCTGCAAAAGAGACAACGGGGGGCCAAGAAGTAATGAACACACAAGAGACTGGAGAAGGTGAGAACCTCGAGGTCTGCAGCGGGGGAACCAGCGAGCTCGTGTGAGCCACAGAATCCTACAAAGGGTCAGGAATCTGTTGTTGTTGCTGTTAGGTGCCATGGAGTCGGTTCCGACTCATAGTGACCCCATGTACTGCAGAACGAAACACTGCCTGGTCCTGCGCCATGCTCACAATTATTGTTATGCTTGAGCCCACTGTTGCAGCCACTGTGTCAATCCATCTCATTGAGGGTCTTCCTCTTTTTCGCTGACCCTCTACTTTACCAAGCATGATGTCCTTCTCCAGGGACTGGTTCCTCCTGATAACATGTTCAAAGCATGTAAGACGTAGTCTCGCCATTTCTTCCAAGACAGATTCATTTGTTCTTTTGGCAGTCTGTGGTATATTCAATATTCTTCACCAACACCACAATTCAAAGGCATCAACTCTACTTCCTTATTCACTGTCCAGCTTTTGCATGCATATGATGCAACTGAAAATACATGGCGTGGGTCGGGCGCACCTTACTCTTCCAAAACTTTTTGCTTTCCAAAACTTTAAAGAGGTCTTCTGCAGCAGATTTGCCCAATGCAATGAGTCTTCTGATTTCCTGACTGCTGCTTCCATGGGTGCTGACTGCGGATCCAAGTAAAATGAAATCCTTGACAACCTCAATCTTTTCTCCGTTTATCATGATGTTGCTTATTGGTCCAGTTGTGAGGGATTTTTCTTTTATGCTGAGGTGTAATCCATACTGAAGGCTGTGGTCTTTGATCTTCATCAGTAAGTGCTTCAAGTCCTCTTCACTTTCAGCGAGCGAGACTGTGTCACCTGCATAACGCAGGTTGTCAATCAGTCTTCCTCCAATCCTGACGACCTGCTCTTCTTCATATAGTCCAGCTTCTCAGATTATTTGCTCAGCATATAGACTGAACAGGTATGGTGAAAGGATACAACCCTGACACACACTTTTCTTGACTTTAAACCACACAGCATCTGCTTCTTCTGTCCAAACAACTGCCTCTTGATCTATGTACAGGTTCCTTATGAGCACAATTAAGTGTCCTGGAATTCCCATTCTTCACAATATTATCCCTAATTTGTTATGATCCACACAGTTGAACGCCATTGCAGTCAATAAAACACAGGTAAACATCTTTCTGGTATTCTCTGCTTTCAGTCAGGATCCATCTAACATCAGCAATGATATCCCTGGTTCCACGTCCTCTTCTGAATCCAGCCTGGATTTCTGGCAGTTCCCTGTTGACATACTGCTACAGCTGCTTTTGAATGATCTTCAGCAAAATTTTACTTGCATGTGATATTAATGGTATTGTTCGATAATTTCCACATTCGGCTGGATCACCTTTCTTGGGAATAGGCATAAATATGGATCTCTTCCAGTCGGTTGGCCTGGTAGCTGTCTTCCAAATTTCTTGGCATAGACAAGTAGGCACTTCCAGCGCTGCATCCGTTTGCTGAAACATCTCAATTGATATTCCGTCAGTTCCTGGAGCCTTGTTTTTCGCCAACGCCTTCAGTGCAGCTTGGACTTCTTCCTTCAGTACCATCAGTTCCTGATCATATGCTACCTCCTGAAATGGCTGAATGTCAACCAAGTCTTTTTGGTATAATGACTCTGTGTATTCCTTTCATCTTCTTTTGATGCTTTCTGCATCATTTAGTATTTTTCCCGTAGAATCCTTCAATATTGCAACTTGAGGCTTGAATTTTTTTCTTCAGTTCTTTCAGCTTGAGAAATGCCAAGCGTGCTCTTCCCTTCTGGTTTTCTATCTCTAGCTCTTTGCACATGTCATTATAATACTTAGTCTTCTCGAGCTGCCTTTGAAATCTTCTGTTCAGTTCTTTTACTTTATCATTTCTTCCTTTTGTTTTAGCTACTCGACGTTCAAGAGCAAGTTTAAGAGTCTTTTCTGACATCCATTTTGGTCTTTTCCATCTTTCCTGTCTTTTTAATGACCTCTTGCTTTCTTCATGTATGATGTCCTCAATGTCATCCCACAACTCGTCTGGTCTTTGGTTATTAGTGTTCAATGCATCCAATCTACTCTTGAGATAGTCTCTAAATTTAGGTGGATATACTCAAGATCATACTTTGGCTCTCATGGACTTGTTCTAATTTTCTTCAGTTTCAACTTGAACTTCCATGTAAGCAATTGATGGTTTGTTCCACATTTGGCCCCTGGGCTTGTTCTGACTGATGACCTTGAGCTTCTCCATCGTCTCTTTCCACAGATGTAGTCGATTCGATTCCCGTGTACTCCATGTGGCGAGGTCCACGTGTACAGTTGCCATTTATGTTGGTGAAGAAAGGTATTTGCAATCAAGAAGTCGTTGATCTTGCAAAACTCTATCATGTGATCTCTGGCATCATTTCTATCACCAAGGCCGTATTTTCCAACTACTGATTCTTCTTTTTTGTTTCCAACTTTCGCATTCCAATCACCAGTGATTATCAGTGCATCCTGATTGCATGTTTGATCAATCTCAGACTGCAGAAGTTGGTAAAAGTCTTCAATTTCTTCATCTGTGGGCTTTGTGGTTGGTGCGTGAATTTGAATAACAGTCGTATTAACTGGTCTTCCTTGTAGGCGTATGAATATTATCCTATCACTGACAGCGCTGTACTTCAGGATAGATCTTGAAATATTCTTTTTGACAATGAATGCAATGCCATTTCTCTTCAAGTTGTGATTCCCGGCACAGTAGACCATATGATTGTCTGAGTCAAAATGGCCAATACCAGTCCATTTCAGCTCACTAATGCCTAGGATATCAATGTTTATGCATTCCATTTCATTTCTGACGATTTCTAATTTTCCTAGATTTATACTTTGTACATTCCATGTTCTGATTATTATATTATTAAAGGAACCCGAGGTACCCTTAAAAGTGCAGTGAGGGGTGGCACTAAAAACAAGAAGTCTTAAAGTCTGTGTGAGAAACAATTAGCGCTCGTGATGTCTACCCCTGCTCCACAGAGTATGGAAACTGCTGTTGGGTGCCACTGAGTCAATTCTGACTCACACAGATCCTAAGGACAGAGTAGGGTTTCCCAGGCTGTCATCTTTACAGGAGCAGATCGACAGGTCTTTTCTCCTGCGGAGCAGCTGCTGGGTTCAAACTGCTGACCTCTCAGCAGCCAAGCACTTAACCACTGTGCCACCAGGGCTCCTTAATAAGGGAACTACCCTTCTCTAATTCAACAGAAGATAGGAGGTTTACTCTCTGGAGAAAATGAACCAGAGGTTCTATATCTAGGTGCTCAGGCACAGAGGGAGCAAGGGGGATGCATCGTACTAGAAACAGAAGGATGATGTGAAAGCCTACTCTGTGCTGCTCCCGCGGTTTCTAAACGCCCTGCGCTTAGCAACGGAGAGAATCAGGGCAGACACTGAGCTGCATCGATTCCACCAAGCCTACCACGGAGCATGATTCATTCACTCAACTCCTTTCTGGAAAGAGCTATGGAAATGGGAGAAAATCTAATCAATTGCTTTACTATAAATACCATTTTCAGTTCCCTACTACTCCAGTCATTTTGTTAAAGCCACAGTTTTTTGTTTTTTTTTTTAATTGTACTTCAGGTGAAGGCCCACAGAACAAACAGCCTCTCATGAAACAGTAGTACACATAATGTTTTATGACATTGGTTAACAACCCCACTACATGTCAACCCTCCCCCTTTTTTTTTTTTTTTGGTGAAAATATACATAGCCAAAGACACACCATTTCAAAAATTTCTACATGCACAGTTCAGTGACATCAACTACGCTCCAATTGTGCTGCTATTCTCACTCTAGATAAAGCCAGTTTTGGCAAACTGCATGACAGCATCAGCTGAGACTCCTGACAGTTCTTGGGCAAGAAGGTAAAACATTTTAACCGCCACAAAGGAAATGTCCACATTTGATGATTTCAGTGACAGAACCCTTCCCAGGACTCCCTGTCACTGCCTCCACAATTATTGTTCTTGAGAACACAATTTAAATTCCATTTTAATTGTGCGTCTATAAAAGAAAAGTGTGTGGAAAAAACAAATTACAACCCATGAAGCTATTCCAGAGTACAAAGATCTGCCCTTGCGATGCTGGACAGCTTGGATTTTTAATGCTGTAACAATTTTCTAGGTTTAAACTATTAGTGAAAGACTTAACAATTACCTGGGCCAGAAAGAAATAAGAGAACATCAAAACCCACACATAAAGCATATCATTGTTATAAATCTGGAGAAAGTTACTCTATCCATAATGCATTAATACTGAGTGTTATTCCAGCTAAAGCTCTGTGTTGTTTGTAGAGACTCCTCTTTATAAAACACGCCCAACACTAACCTCCTGCTTCGTCACTGGCGGCATCTGTTAGAGGAGTGGTACGTGCCGTCACTCCAAGGACTACTCAACACCATCCCTCCACACCCAAGTCTACTCTGCCTTTCACTCCTAGCCACCAGGTGTGAGAGCACCAGGTCAAGGTCACAGACCTTCTCCCTCGGTCATGTCAGAATGGTCCAACTTGGCCTCCTTGTGTTGTCCTTCCGCCACCTTCACGGCAACAGCTCGGCAAATGGCTCCAAGCCTCCTGTCCAGAGAACGAACCCCTGCCTCTCGGGTATACCTGCCATCAAAGAAAAATGTTTTATTTTTGGCTAAACACTGTCTATAAAAATGGACAGAAGTAATGCGATTAACGTTTATACTAAGGAAACTGTACATTTTAAAGTTCATTATACTTTTTTGAACAATAATTTCCCCACACTTAAAAATTTCTTATTATTGTTATTTCTTAAATATTCAGATGTATTTTCATCCACAACTTTTTCCTTTACGTAGATTATCTTGACTATTACTCTATACTTAAAAATGAATCTGTGGTTCCTCAATTTACACTGCCAAAGAGTTCTTGCAAACAAAAGTTTTTAATTTAATACTAGACAATTTATTATTCTTGACATATGCCTGACAGAATCAGAAAAATAACACTCTCTTTCCAAATAAAGCAAAAAAGAAACTGAGATGGAAATCTAGTTTTCACCAGGAACTGTGCTGATCACCTCTATTCCGTGTGTTTTCATTGCGGGGCTTCTAAAGAAAGAATGTGCACTGATGCCAGCACTGTGATTTCGTGAAAAGGACTCTAAGTGTGGTGAAGTAGAGATGTCTTAAAAAACTTGTATGTTACACTAAAATTCTGTAAGCCACCTCATAAATCATTAGAGAGTGCAACCATTTTTGGATGGATCTGAAATCGGCAGCATCAGGCAGAGAATGTGGTTTTACCTAAAACTGACCAAGCAGTCGGGCATATATTCTAGACGTTAGGGAAGCAGATTTTAATGCTCTAAGACAAAAAAGAGCTCTTGGCTGGACAGTCTAAAGTAAAACTCGCTTCACTCAAAGGGATGGTAAGATATAAAGTTCATGTTCACAACTGCGTACAATTTCAACAAGTAAGAAAAAACCGAGAGGCAACTTAAAAATAAACATATAAAAACAAAACCCCAATGTAGCTGCAGCTGCAGCTGAAATTAAAGGGTCTGAGCAAAAGACAGAGGCAAAGGGGCTCAGGAAGCATAAGAAGGAATGGCGTGAACATGCAAAAGTGGTATCAGTTCAGAATGAGCTGACGCTTGACAAAAACAATGACAACAAAAAGTCTTCTTTTATGCGTTGAGAACAGGAACAGGCTGTGGACTAATGTAGCCAGTGTAACATTAACAGATGACAGGAAGAAAGTGGACGTGCCCAACTCCCACTGGCACCTTAAAGCTGAACGTGGAAGGATCGCCAGGGCCAAGTAAGAGTTGGTTGATGTTTCTCATCAATGACTTGAACATACATGCCAATTTTCAGAGGACATAAACTGATCTGGTTGATAGTAATCAAGATCCAAAACAAATCAATTTGCTGCAATGGTAGCTGAAACTAACAATAAAATACATATATTGTAAACTTCTACATTTGGGATATACTCAGCTTAGCAGAAATTCATATGAAAAAAATTGATGATATTAGTTAACGATAAGTGTAATATGCAAGAGAACAACCAAAAAAAGCTAAGAACCTTGGGCTAGAAATCAAACCAAACCAAATCCACTGCTAGAGTCAATTCCAACTCATGGCGACCCCATGTGTGTCAGAGTAGAACTGCACTCCATAGGGTTTTCAATGGCTATAATCTTACAAGAGTAGATCACCAGGTCTTTCTTTTGTAGTGCTGCTGGGTGGATTTGAACTGTCAACCTCCTGATGAGTAGCCAAGTACAAACCCTCTGCGCCAGCCAGGGACCAATAAAACGGTCAGAATCAGAAAAGCAGTGGTATTCCTGTGCCATGAACTGCTTAGACCACACCTAAAATGCTGTGTCCTGCCTCTGGACTCTTTCATTCTGGGAGAGACTGACAGCACAGAACTAACTCAGAAGTGAAATTCATTCAGGGAGGTGAAAAGGTCAAGGAGAACAGTAAAGAGAATAAGATCTGACAGCATTTTTTTTTAATTGTTGGAAGAGGTGTACAAGGGAGAAACTAGACTTAGATCCCAGGTGCTCCTACAGGGCAGAACCAGAAACTTACAGGAGGTCACCAGGGAAGCAGGAAGCATCCAAGCAGGTTGGTTACATGGCAGGTGAGAGGACCATACGACTTCTCAGATCCTCTCCTCTCCTGCTGAACACTAAGAGTCGACGACTGTAACGCATCCCCCAAAACAGGAAACTCAAATCTCGCTACTCATGGCCTATGTTTGGTGACTCACTAAGGATCCAAAACGTGCCTGGAGTAGCTGTTTCTAAAAACAATACTAAAACTAATAAAACTGCTCAGAGAATTTCCTAATGTCTGCAGCTTTTAAGATCTGAGGTTTCAAGCTAACAAGCATAAAAAAAATAAATAGCTCTCCAAGCAGTAAACAGGAAATACAAATCATGATTACTCTTCAGAATCATTATCCAGATTTAGATAAACTCTGCATATTTTCTCTATCACTCAAATTTTACAGACGTACAAAAAGAAGCTATCAGAAAGGTTAAGTGATGTGTTGAAAGTTACCAAGAGGCATCATGGGTGTTATCTGAAATGATATTGTTGGAAGACTTTGGCAAATAAATCACCTAATTCATTTCTGGCAGTATCTACCCAGTAAATCACAAACAAGTTAAGAAAAGGAACTTCCAGGTCAGATTTATTCTTACTGTTCTGTGTATAAATTTAAACAGATTCCAGAAGAAGGCTGGCTTAAGTCAAAAGGCAGTCTGCCTGGCCAAACTCTAAGTCAAAGCTCAAAATGGAGAGATACCTCACATTTTTTGAAAACCAACAGTTACTGGAAGAGGGCTGCACGAGGACTGTCTGGCAGGCTGACACGGTCTGACAGATGATGCAATGGACCTGTAAGACGGAGCCAGGAAAGCAAGAGGAGACCGTGGTAGACACAACTCAACAAGTAATCTGTAACTCAGACCAAGAATGCTCAACTCAGACACTTTACATACTGCTTGCCACAGGCTTAAGCACTTGGTAGCAAACTCTGGAGAGCACCTTCTCGATCGTGCCAGTGTTAATTCCAAAGATCAAAATGCTAAGGATTTAAAAAATCTCTCAGTCATAGAGAAAAGAAAAGAAAATCTGAATAACCTAAAACAGATGTCTGAAAGCAGCATCTCATCCCTTAAAAGAATTCACCAACTTTCAAGACCCTGGCCCTAGCGGGCATCTCTATATTTTCTATGCTTTGGGGTCTTAATGTATCAAATTATGGCTCAACTAAGGTCCTTAGCTACAAAGATATTCCGAATGTTTTCTCCACAAGTTTCTGTGTAATACACAGCCCTGTGTGAATCAACAGCTACGGAAACGCGTGCTGGGAATCTGCTGGAGGGAGAGATGGATGTTATACGTTGCCAGCAAATAATCTCCTTTTCAGACTCAAACCCTACTGACGGCCCAGGATGGCAGACTAACCTAGTGATGATGTCGAGAGTCGTAATCTGCGGGATCTGAATCTGCTGAGGTGTCAGTCCATGCTGCTCCAGCTGCTTTGGGATCAAGTGCCTATGGGCGATCTCGATCTTCTCCTCTTGTGTGTACCCTGTGAAGAAAGATCTTATTTTGTAATTACTGGATTCACACAGCTGCCTCAGAGCCATGTTTTTTAAATGAATCAAACGCAGACTCGAAGGATCTTGGATTTAGAACGAATATAAGTATTACTTCAACCAAGACTATTACCAGAATAAAGAAATTTAACCTCAAATCAATAATTGTTAAAACTTCCAACTTTTTCACAAACTAAAGACTTCAATTAAATAAGTAGTGAGCTCCAGGAAAGGACTCCAAAAGAACTACTTCTAGAACTTTGACCATAGATTTTAGCAACAAAAGAAAACAAGACCTACATGTCCCTATAAGTCTTTTTTCCCCACGTACTGGAATAGTAACTTATATTTTCAAAAGAATTTATATTTTTTATTTATTTAATGGCCTTAATTAGTACAGATTTACTGTCTTTAAATCATTAAGACAAAATTCCCCAAACTAATCCCCCTCCTTTCCCTTTAACAAGTAAAAATTAAAAATATGAATTGATAGGGCATCTTCCGAATAGAAAGAGGAGGTAAAACACACCAGAAAAACCAGAAAGTAAGGTGACCAAACCCACCAAGGAAAGGCAGAATCACCTGCCCACCTCTGCGCGGCAGTCCGAAGTGCTTCATCTCACACTAGTGTATCTTACGGAGTTCCTGCCTCAACCTGGAGTTTCAGGCAGTTGGGTCTAATTATGTATTTATTTTGGTCTTATAAATATGCAGAGGCAACTTTTTTACTCCACCATACTTCATACTTTAAAACTAAATACAGGAACCTGTAGGGCTCGCAGATAATTAAGAAATCCAATTATCATTCATTTAATAGTAAAAATACATCTCAGACTAATATGAGAAATAGATTTAGATTCCATTTAGAATCCAAATACATTTAGATTCAGCTTTATTTTCATTTTAACAAATGCTGATATCTGACCTCTTCTAGGAAAAAGTAATTCCAAGCCATTAAAATAAGTGAAAACAGTGGGACTTACTCAGTGTTAGTAACTAACTGACTGTACTTCACTCATTCCAGCTGAGAAGACACTGGTTAAAAAAAAAAGTGTAACTATTTGACAGATCTGACTAATGTGAAATTTAAAAGTACCACGCACTTCGTATAAAAGTGATGTGAGGTTTCATAAGGAGAAAGTCCAGCTACTTACCAGGAACCACTTCTTAACGAGAATAAATAATTATGTAACACTTTCCCAGGGAGATGGGAGAAACTTCACAGTCTGATAGACTGCAAGCTAAACTGACTGGGTGAAGATCCATTTTTAGTTTTGAGACATTGGCTAAAGAAATAAATTTTCAACTATGATTTTAGAAATTGCTTCAAAGAAAAATGTCTTATCTTCCATAAGAAGCTATCATCCTTTAATGCTAAACTAAATGTCTTACAGAACATACACATATTCTTATCAGTCATGGTTCAAAACAACAGACAAAAAAGGTTTGCTCTTCCAAACTCTGAATCTACATAAAAGCTGGGTTATAAACCAGACTCAGCACTTTGAAGATTACATACTCATAAGTCAAATTCTTTACTCAAAACTCCACAGCATGACCAATTTTAAAGGATTATGCTCTGAAAAACAAGGATACCAAATACCGATTTATTTACTAATCAAGTACCTGGAACCTGAATTATCTCCATTCTATCCAGCAAGGCAGGTGGAATCGTAGCGGTAGTGTTGGCAGTAGCTATAAAAAGAACTTGGGAAAGGTCAAAGGCCACATTCAGATAATGATCTGTGAAGTTATGGTTTTGTTCGGGATCCAACACCTAGGAGAGAACAATAAACATTTAAGCAAACTCAGTAGTTCCAACAGAAAGCTGTCTAAGTTCAAACATACACAATGCATCAGCAAAGCCGGTATTTCTGCTCACTGCGGTCAGCGTGGGCAACAGGGAGAACGCTGAAACCCAGGCATCATTCCTCGTACTCTCCACACTCTAAATACTTGTTTCTTCATGAAAAATGTTCAATGTCAAAAATTTGGAAAACATATTAAAAGTACAAAGAAGCAAAAATTACCCTTTCAAGCTTTCTTCTTAAATCTATAAAAGACTCCTTGTGTGACCATAAATTAAGTCACCAATCCTGCAGAACCACTTCCATCTTGGTAACGCTCCATATCTTAACTGCTATGGGAATTTAAAGTAAACGTGTAGAGTATTTTGAAATTCTTGGATAGCAGGTGAAATAAGAACCACGATATTCCTCCTCAAATATTATTGGAAAGTCTGGTATAAATTCTTTAACTGAAAGGGGAATTCCAAATAAGAGCAAACTAGTAAAAGTTACCATGCTACTATATTCTGATACACACAAGGAAAAATTCACTTTTTAAACATACCTTAAAGCAACACCTTGTTGTTTTAAGGAGCAAAATATCAATACTTCTTTAAAATACTTCAATTGGATAAATTAGATAGCTTATTTCAATCGGATAAATTTGATAGCTTATCAATTATGGTTTCAAAATACTCAGCAACTGTATATTAAAGAGACTATATCTTCTTTGGAGCCCTGGTGGCGCAGTGGTTAAAAGCCTGGCTGCTAACCAAAAGGTCGGAAGTTTGAATCCACCAGCTGCTCCTTGGAAACCTTAGGGGGCGGTTCTACTCTGTCCTGTAGGGTCGCTATGAGTCAGAATCAGCTCAATGGCAGTGGGTTTTTTGGTTTCTATCTTCTTTCGGTTACCTCTCAAGTGCTTCAAGTCATGGCCACTCACTGCTGCTAGGTCTGCACAGGACTTCAACGAAGGCGCCTCATACCTTTCGCATGTTCTAAGCCTTAAGGATCATTACACCACTTCCACTTACACCAAATTAGTATAAACAGGGTTAACACACGTATTCAAAAAAGAAGTAAAATGATTAAAATACTTACCAATCACAATTTTACTATATAAACAGCTTTTCCTTGCTTCTGATTGCCTTCCTAAAGTTTTACGTATTTTTTAAAATTTCCACAAGATAGTTCTAATTCAAGACCCTTTGCACATAATCTTGAATTATGAACACTATTACTGAAAACTCAGCGTTTATCTAGAATACAATTCCCAGAAAGCTCTAATAATTTTTTCATAAAACTTAATAATGTTTGATGTTATAAAAATAAGATATTTTCAAATCATCAAAGAAAATCTGAATTGGGTTCAATACAGGATTTGTTAGAGTAATCTTACTGTCTACCAATTATCTGAAAACTGGTTAATTTATACATGGAAAATATGGCAATCTTAAACTCATTTACCTAATTAAATATATTCTTCAATGGTACTAGTTAAATCTAATACATAAATGCTGGATATGTTTTAGAAATGTCTGTCAGACCTGCCCAAGTGAAGTAATTTTTTTCTTTCCCTTAAAAACTTAAGACACTGGGGTTAAAAAAGTAGGAATATTAATAAAACAGTGTTTCTGAACTATGAATGTGGTCTTTTAAAGTGCATTACAGGACACTCAACAAACCAGAGGTGGAGTTGCCATCCGATCCAGCAATTCCACTCCTAGAGATATAACCTAGGGATCTAACAGAAGCGACACCAACAGACATACGCACACCTATGTTCACTGCAGCACTATTCACAACAGCAAAAAACTGGAAACAACCTAAGTGCCCATCAATGGAAGAATGGAGAAGCAAAATGTGGTAAACACATGTGATGGACTACTACTCAGTGATAAAGAAAAATGAGTTCCTGAAACAACGTGGATGAACCTGGAGGACATTAAGCTGAACAAAATAAGCCCATCACAAAGAGTCAAACATTGTAGTTCTCATTTTATGAAATGACATGAGTAGGTAAATCTACATAGACTAATGTTCATCAGTGGTTACCAGGTGAAGCAGGGGGAAGGGGGAGGTGTTTCCCAGGTAGTAGTCACTTTTTGTCTGAGCCCATTGTTGCAGCCACTGTGTCAATCCATCTCGTTGAGTGTCTTCTTCTTTTTCGCTCACCCTTTACTTTACCAAGCGTGATGTCCTTCTCCAGGAACTGGTGCCTCCTGATAACATGTCCAAAGTACGTAAGACGAAATCTCACCATCTTTACTTCTAAGAAGCATTCTGGCTGTACTTCTTCCAAGACAGGTTTGTTCATTCTTCTGGCAGTCCACAGTATATTCAATATTCTTCACCAACACCATAATTCAAATGCATCAATTCTTCTTCAGTCTTCCTTATGCACTGTCCAGCTTTCGCATGCATATGAGGCAACTGAAAATATCATGGCTTGGGTGAGGTGCAGCTTAGTCTTCAAAGTGACATCTTTGCTTTTTAATACTTTAAAGAGGTCTTTTGCAGCAGATTTGCCCAATGCAATGTGTCTTTTGATTTCTTGACTGCTACTTCCATGGGTGTTGATTGTGGACCCAAGTAAAATGAAATCCTTGACAATGTCAATCTTCTCTCTGTTTATCATGATACTGCTTATTGGTCCAGTTGTGAGGATTTTTGTTTTCTTTATGTTGAGGTGTAATCCATACTGAAGGCTGTAGTCTTTGATCTTCATCAGTAAGAGCTTCAAGTCCTCTTTACTTCCAGGAAGCAAGGTTGTGTTATCTGCGTAACGCAGGTTGTTAATGAGTCTTCCTCCAATCCTGATGCTGCATTCTTCTTCATATAGTCCAGTTTCTCAGATTATTTGCTCAGCATTATAGACTCAGTAAGTATGGTGAAATGATACAACTCTGATGCACACCTTCCTTGACTTTAAACCACGTAGTATCCCCTTGTTCTGTTCAAACAAATGCCTCTTTGTCTACGTACAGGTTCTACATGAGCACAATTAAGTGTTCTGGAGTTCCCATTCTTTGCAATGTTATCCATAATTTGTTATGATCCACACAGTTGAATGCCTTTGCACAGTCAATAAAACACAGGTTAACATCTTTCTGGTATTCTCTACTTTCAGCCAGGAACCATCTGAAATCAGCAATGATATCCCTGGTTCCACATCCTCTTCTGAATCCAGCTTGAATTTCTGGCATCTCCCTGTTGATATTCTGCTGCAATCACTTTCGAATGATCTTCAGCAAAATTTTACTTGCATGTGATATTAATGATATTGTTCAGTAATTTCTGCATTCTGTTGGATCACCTCTCTTTGGAATAGGCATGTATATGGATCTCTTCCAGTCAGCAGGCCAGGTAGCTGTCTTCCAAATTTCTTAGTGCGGTACACGCACACACACACACACACACACACACACACAGAGACATATTTATATATGGGGGTATGTTTTCAAAATTTTTTACTGATAGGATATGTGAACTAAATGTATAGAAATTCTGGTTGCAGACAAAAAGGTCTTCTTAAACATAAAAGGTCTCGAAACATAACCCACTCACAAATCCTTGAAAAAAATAATCTGAAGGTATTTCCATCTGAACAAAAGATAAAAGGATAGGAGGTAAGTACTGCAATCATTTAAGCACAGAACTAAAACGAAGCGTGTGAGGAAGTCCTTCTATAATGGCAAAGTGAGGACTTCGAAAGCCAACAGCTGCACAACTGAAGGAGCTGGAAAACCAGAAGCCTAGCAGCCACTGTAGGGGGCAGAAATGACTGCAGCTCCCCCAAAGCCTCACATCCAATGGGCCATCATATCTGACCTGTCTGGCAGCTACTTGGAAAAGCTCTGTCCTCAGGATTTGTCTTTATTTGAGGAGCCCTGATGGCCCAGTGGTTAAGCGCTTGGCTGTTAACTGAAAGGTCATCCGTTCGAACCCATCAGCCACCCCACAACTGGCGAAGAAACAGGAAAAGGAGCAACTCTAAGCAGGCTGAACAACATGTACAGGAACAAACAGGGTCAGGAAAAGACAAGGAGAATAGTTCACCACAGGCTCCGCTGTGAAAGGCGTTTCTATCATCAAGAATAACGAAACAGAGCCCTGGTGGCGCCGTGGTTAAGAGCTTGGCTGCTGACCAAAAGGTCGGCAGTTCTAATCCACGAGCTGCTCCTTGGAAACCCTGTGGGGCAGTTCTACTCCAGGGTCACTCTGAGTTGGAACTGACTCGATGGCACCTAACAACAACAATAATGTAAACACTCAATAATGATTTAACAAAATATACTGGGAGAACGGGAGTACAGAAATGGTACAGGGGGGGCGGCGGCAGGATAGAAAGCAAAATTCTCACCTCCTACGGCGGGAGCCGATAGATAATGCTGAGAACAGAAAAACCAAGACATAGCAATCCAGCCACGCTGTTCCTGAGACTGAGTGAATCAGAGGTCAAAGCAGAGAAGAAAATGGGGGTCACTATGAAAGGGACTTGCTTGCTGTTTTTTGTAACGACCTTGCAGAATAACTGGTCTTGAAACAATAAGGATGCACAAAATTTTGTTAAACTAGTTGATTAAAAAAAAAAAAAGGAACACAAACAGGAAGAATTATCAGAAAAAAAGGAAAAAGAAATCTCCAAGACATTTCAATTTAAATATCAAATTATTTCAGATTTCAGTCTGTATCAACCTTTTCCCACGACTAAACCCATATCAATGAACATATTACTTGAATGTGATCACCTACTCTCAACGTACAGTCTCGCAGTGCGATTCCAGATGGGGGTGTTTTCTAAATCTTACCTCGAGGAGAGCTGCGGCAGGGTCACCCTGTAAACTTTTCCCCAGCTTGTCAACCTCATCTAATAGGAACACTGGATTGTTAACACCAACAGTCTTCAAGCCATTGATTATACGGCCAGGCATGCTGCCCACGTAGGTGCGTCTAGGAAGTAACCACAATGAGAGGTGAGGAGGCAAATCCCTGTAATAAAGCAGTCCCTGGGTGCTGCACACAGTTAATGTACCCAGCAGCGAACTAAACAATTGGAGGTTCGAGTCCATCCAGAGGTGCCTTAGAAGAAAGGCACGGCAATCTACTTAAAAATAAGCCACTGAAAACCCTATGGGGGCACAGTTCTACTATGACACACACGGGGTTGCTATGAGTTGGAATGGATTTGACAGCAACGGGTTTGGTTTTTGGACGATGCTTCAGAAGTTACTGATTCAGTTCCTACCTCACTTTCCAGTGAACTCTGGCTGCCAGTCCCCTGTGATACTGAAAGAACTGTATCTCATGTCTGCCACTCAGAGAGACGAAGGGCATTACCCTGAAGTCACACAATTACGGTTCTTACTCTTCAAGATCCCGAAACGTTCAAAGGACCTTAGGAATTTAATTCCCATGCTTTTCATGCTTTTTCAGAGACTCTGCCTCTAGCACAATCCCCTCTTTATATACTGAAATGGCTGCCTCAGGGCTGGTGAAAACAACATTATCTTCACAAAGAGATTACAACTGGTTCAAAGGGCCACTCAAAACACAGAAAAGAGAAAGGGAGGGAGGAAAGGATGAGGGAGGGGTGTACAAGGGAAGAAAGGAAGATTCCAAACTTTTATTTTCAGAGGCAATAATCTATTATTAACTGATCTGGGTTCACTGATTTAGGGTTAGTAAGAGGATCTGGGGTTAATAGTATTTACACCCAAATTCCATTAATTCTGGTCTTCTGACAAACCATGTTCTCCCCACATGTACTAACTGGCATAACCAAGTTCAGCCAGGTTCTCTGCTGAGCATTACAATGTCAGAGGCTGCTTTATCACGTTTAAACAATTATCTACAAAATTATAACAGATGTAGAGTGTGGCATAAAATAAAAACAAATTGTCTGTCAAAGTGGAAAAAAAGTGCCTTTCTTACAACAAAAACTTTATTTTAAGCAGCGGTTTACTGAGTTTAATTACAACCTTGCTGCCTAAGCCCTGTGCAAAACAAACACTGTTTCTGAACAGGCATAAAGGGCTGACTGCCCAGAGGGGAAGCTGATCGGCGATAAGTGGAGCAGCCGCACGTAGCTCATGATCTGCACAAAGCGGATTCACAAAGCAGGCCTCAATTCTGCCACATGGTTGGTATAAAGTAGGACAGAATACACAGAGCGACCTGTGAAAAGACAAGGAAGCCTTGAAAACTATCGTGGGAACGCCTTTCATCCGGGGAAGGTGACCGAGGCACTGGAAGCAGACAGTGAACGCTGCCCTTTACGGTACGGAACGAGCACACTCATGACCTGTACACGAGATGTGCGACAAGACTCAACACTAATACATTCTTTGAAATTACTTCTCTGGAAAACGCAGAGATTTACCATTACTCTGATTTTTAAGAGCAGTAGTGAAGGGATTTTTTTTAAATTTCAAAACCTCTATGGGTCCTTTCTTGCTTCATTAATTTCCTTCTCTTTCCTTACTGTCACCGATGGGCAGACTTCAAACTTGGGTAATGACAGTTCTAGGCCGAAAGTCATGATGAAAATAATACTCTAGGCAGGACCGGTTCTACAGAAGAAGCAGAAACCTAGACACTAGTCACTGCGCACGAACAATTCCTCACAAACTTCCCACTGCTCCCCAGAACCTACAGAGTAAGGTGCAAACCCCCGCCTGGGATTCAAGGTGCCTCACAATCTCCCCCCTGCCGGCCTTCCCAACTTGCTGCCATTCCTGTTTTGCTTCAGCCAGGATAAAATCCTACTATACCCGCTGTGCTTTTTTAAAAAACCTTTGTTCATACAGTGCCTTCCTGCCCTTAATACACCCCCTGACTATGTAAACTACCGAAGACCTAGTGATTCTAAGACACCTTTCCCAATCACTTCTCACAAAGCTATCTTTCCAACAATGCTGTGCCTGCGGCCTCTACTGCCTCTGCAGTTGAGCTGAAGCTGACTTTTTATTCATGGGTACCAAGTACACAACCTCCTCTAGAGAGACAGGGAAGGCTTTGATGACGAAGAGTGGGTCTTATTACAAAGCAGATACTGGGCACAGAGCTGTAAGATTGTTCCCTGACAGAAGCTTGTTTCTCCTATTCATTTACAGACAACCACGCCAGCACCCACAGCCTCTTTCTATTCCCACTGTTCAGCTGACACATGTGTTTGAATACAACTTCAGTCAGGTTACTTGACCCAAGTCTCAGTTTCCTCGGCTGTAAAATGGGGATAATAATAGTGCCAACCTCAAGGATTATGACAGAACATAGGTAAAACACACAGCACAGTGCCTGGCACACAGTAAGCTTTCAAAGGACGTTAATTATAATTAGTAACAGCTACTGAAAGTCCACTTCTGCTTTCCTGGATGAAGTATAAAAGCAGAAATCAGTACACCTGAATTTAACGGAAGCAACGCTTCCAAGCGTATTTCAGAGCACCAAGCACACTCAAGGCCCTCAGTGCTCCTCAACCACAGGTGATACCCCCACATATGGACCACCGTTCTAGAGGTCGAGCCAAGGAAAGAACCATTACCACTTCTGGAAAAATAAAGAGTCTGCAGGCTGCTGAAATGTCTATAACGTGACAGCACATCAAAGTACAGATATCACGTTAACCAGTACCAGAATCTGCTATCTTTTATTGACACGCTGAGTCTAAACAAGGCGGCGGGTGTGATGTACTGGACAGTGCTTGGGGCTTCTCTGGAAAGTACACGTCTTTCTTACATCAAGGGAAATAAAAGTTACTGATCCAACCAGTCATGGTTAGATAACTGATTATTTAATGAAAAGATTTAACACTTTTTCTAGTTATTAAAAGAGAAGAACTTTTGTTAGAAACCACTCTAAAAATACAGGATGTAATGTCCTACATATGCTAAATTTGTTTGAACACGCTTTTCCATTCAGGACAGTCTTTTGCCAGAAGGTATGGCAGCATACAATTCACTGACTAAAGGTACAGAATATATTGTGAATAAACCTGTGGAATATGAATCAGACGGGGAAAAACGCAGCAATACACAAAATAAAAATGTTCTCTTTCAACATCACCAAACACAACCATTTCTTAACAAATTAGCGTAGCAAAAAATATCCCCTGAGAAACTACACAGGTAGGAAACAAATGAAAGTAGTACTCATTTACAAACTGTAAGTTTCTTGACGGCAAAACCCTAGTCTTTCCAAGTTTTGTTTCCTCACGATTAAACACCTAGAGAGCATCACAGCATAATACAGGAATTTGAAAAGCATGTATCACTTCAGTAAGTTATTACTCGGCCTGAATATATGATTACCTAGCAATTTTTCCTAAAATTGAAGTAACCATGTTAATTTTTAAAAAATATATGAATTCATACTTTTTCTGTAATTGTTGCAAACAATACATGAGTTAGTCAAGACTACTCAACTAGTGTTTAAGATATACAGAAACAATGAAACTATCTACCTAGTTCAAAATTTTTGTTAAAATATTAGCATTTTCCATTTTCCAAAAAAATGGTTTGTGCTTTGAAAAACAACTACAGAGAAATACAATATTATCTATTTACAGCCCTATGATAAGCATTTATTTTACTATTCTGCCCCCATACCTTGATAACATCAAATCTAATGTGATCCACAGGCTGGCCAGCCCATCACTGCCAGTGACATTTAAATATCAGGAATAAGATGTCTCCTTCCTCAACCTCTTTTGCAGTATGGAGAGAAGGGAGAAAAACAGGCATTTCATCATTAATTTTTCATCTCTGTTCAATTTAAGAGGCTCTTATGGACTACCATGCAAATCATTAAAATAATATTTACAAAAAATTCACAGCAATAGATTTAAAAGGCCTATGTTATAATGTTAAGTAGAAAAGGTATGATTATAATTCTGTTGCTTTTTTTCAAAAGGGGCAAAAATGCTGCTCAAAGAAGTCTGGCAGGAAATAAACCAAAATTAAGAGTGATTATACCTATATGGTAGAAAAATAAGGATTTTTTTAACCTTTTCTTTTTTACCGCCCCCCCAAATTTTCTACCAAGGGTGTGTATACATATATTTCAAACTGGAAAAAGTAATGAGCCTTAGAAGAGATCCAAATGATCTCAAAAACAAAAACAGTCTTTAAGGAGCTGGGACTGTAATACAGCACGTCTGAAGAAACCGCACTGTTGGTCTTATAGTGGTCTTCCAAACTGTTACTCCCCTAGTCTGTATGGATGTACTCATGTTAAGGAACGCGTGACTTCCAAGGTGTAACTGTGTGAGTTCTCATCTCCCGTGAATGTACTAAGCACGTGGAGAGCACGCACCGTGGTTAGCGCTGGGCTGAGTGTCCTGGAGTGACAGAAAGGAGCGCAGGACAGACGGTAAAACCCCAGCCCTACAGAGCCTATACCTTCCGTGTTTACGTTTTCTCTCTACAGTTACACACTGGGAATTCCAGAGGTACACGCTGCTGAATCACTAAAGGAGCGTACAGACACCGGGTGGTCGGCTCGGAGGAGAGTCAGATCATAACTGACCGTCCTCACACTAACGGAGGGAGCCCAGGGCTGGGCCCTTCCAACAAGCCGCAGTTCCAGACAGGCAGAGAAGAGCTGTGTGCAATACAGGCTCTAACAGGGACAGTGCGCAGACCATGGAATGTCTAGCATACTATACTAAAGAAGTATTCAAACCTTGCTGCTTCAGTTATTTTTCCCTTGTGAAGATTAACAACGAAGCAGCTAATTTACTTAAAACATCACCATTTCAAGTCACATGAAAATTTATCAATGTGGAAAACAAAGTTCATTTTCTCCCGCTCATCTTGTTGGAAAACTAAGCAAGGAGTCCTTACAATGATATGATTTTATTATCTGAACATCTGCCTGATAAAGTACTTCCAAAGAGTTAACATCAACAGTGATTGGAGACGCATCGTAACAATAAGTACGTTTTTGAAATGTATCATAAGTAATGTTTTACCAAGGAATAAGTAGTGAAAATTAACTATTATGTAAACATGATTTCATAAAACTTCATACTAAAAAAATTGGTTATTTTATATTTACTTTCTGTGAACTGATTTATTTAAGTGTTAAATTTAAATATAAAAATTTAAGCTATAAAAACTGATACATAGAAACAGGTACTTTGTGGCTTATGTGAGAGAAATTCCCAGTGGAGAGAAATCCAAATGAGAAATGCTGGGAAAAATGAGAAGCTGCATTAGTTAATATGGAGCATAAACACTACTATTCTTTCTTTAAACCCCTTAAAATATAAGCAAAAACAATGGGCCCACATTCAGTCAGATTACCATTATTTTCCTACTTTAAGATTTAAATGTAATTCAAGCCTTTCTTTTCCTTCCCCATCTCCCAACCACATTATCATGTTAAATCTTAAAAAAAAAAAAAAAAAAACTCTGGTTGTTTTTAAAATTAATTCCAACTCATTAGCACCTACTTCACATGAACAGGTATTTCTAGCAGAAGGCTGGCCTTCCACGCCTGGGAAAGAGGGAAAGTGAGTGAATAAGGAGGGAAAATACCACAATAAAGCAGCTCGGTTTTTTCCCGGTTATTTTAAGGCTGAAGAACAGTCGTGCCTACTCAACGGCTGAGGAAAAACAAAACTTTTCCTGAACTCCAGTTGTGAGCACGTGGCCAGGACTCAAACAGCAAACCCTGCGTCTTTCCAGAATGCCCCACTGTGCCATGGAGCCACGGGTTCCCAAAGACTGCAGCCCCTGGTCGTGCTGTGATTCTCTACTGTCCCTCTCCCCCTCCTCACACACACCTTCCATTCATAAGCCTGAATTCAGCAACATTCTGCTCTCACACTTGCCTTTCCTTTAAGTTTCCAAATAAAAATTGTCTCTAGGCTTTGATGATTTAAGGGACAGATGGGGAATAAGGCCTCGACAATACAGAGGTAGGCTGCTGAAGTGTTTAGCGAGATGTCTGGCACAGCGTGGCCAGGGAGCACCTACCAGCAAGGCGTATCTTACATCAGGCTTAATCGAGCGATTCACCAACAAATCCATACCTTATATGTGGCAACGATCACAGCCTTTATACACACCATGTATGTCTAAGAAGTTTATATTTACAAATATAAAAGGCCAGTGGTGACTGTAACACAACCTCCTTTTACAAAATAATCTTTCCAAAAAGTCTCTTACAAAAGAATTTTTCTACAAAAGAAAAGTAACTCATTTTCTTTAGATTTAATTCTCTTAATAACAGAGTTACATATGCAAAAGTATGTTCACTTGGAAAAAAGCCAACAAATTTTCTACCTACCAGTAAATATTTACAACAGGGACCTGTTTAAGCCCGGTAACATTCATAAGAAGTGGTGTGAGTGACACTGCATACTGTGTAATACAAAAATACATTTTTCCTATAATTGTGCCACATAAATAATAATGTGGAGAACGGGATAAAAAAATTTTAGAATGCAATTTTAAAAACATCAGATCAAATCTTATAAAAAGTCATACTGAAGTTTATAAATCTATACTTCTCCTGAGAATTTAGAAATAACACAATAATAATTAAAGCTAACTTGTATTCAGTGCTGTGTACAAGGCACTGAATAAAAATTTTCCAAGCCTTATCACATAATCAAAGGAGCCCCGGTGGCACAATGGTTAAACGCTCAGCTGCTAACCGAAACGTCCGTGGTTCAAATCCACCAGCAGCTGCTCGGGAGAAAAAACCTGGTGATCTGTTCCCATACAGATGACAGCCTAGAAAACCCTCTGGAGCAGGTCTACTCTGTCCTATAGGGTCACTATGAGCTGGAATCGACTCCATAGCACACAGTAACAACAATGGCATAATCAATACCAATGTGCCCTTATCCTTAATTACACAAAATGACTCTCCAAATCCCACCATCAATTTCACCATATAAAATACTTACACAGCACTGTACTACTGATAAGAAAAGAAAGGAAGAAACCCAAACCACTCAGAGTGTGCAAATCAAGTCACCAGAACAGGGAACACCTCCCAAAAGCTCTGTGGCTGGAATGAGAAGACTGAGCTTCTCCCAGACTGGTCCCAGCGTCGTGAAAGCAAACGGCAGCCTCTAGCGGCACAGGGGAGAACAGGAAAGTGGGAGCCACAAAGCACCTCTTGACGTGGCTGAAAAGATGACCCGGACCGCGCCCCGCACTGCTCATCGATTAAAAACCTTGGAATGATTTTTCTTGAATACGTAAGAACTGTATATGAGTAAATAAAACATTAAAAAGAACCATTTCTCATGAAAACATTTCTCAGTTTCCCATCCCTGCCTCAGGCCAAGGATCCCTGTGAACGAGCAAATGGAAAATAAGATATTTAAAAAGCATCATACTCTTTTTCTTTTTTGCACCATATCCTTTTAGAAGCAGTTCATGGCTTGTACATTTTTTAATGGTCCAGATTTTACAATGTTGCTTTACACACACGCTACAGGTACATTTACTCACAACTCGTAACTGCTACGAAACCCTTAAGCCTCCAGGCATGAGAGATAGGTCGTGCTTTCCCACGGCATCTTCCCATCCGAGCAACCAGAGAGAACAAACGGATGAACGAAGTGTGCAAATCTGATTCTGATAATGTCACGTTAATCGGGACACAATTCTCACAGTTTACTGTATTTTGATAGAACGTGTGTCCAAAGTGCACGGATAAACCAAACCAGTTGCTGTCGAGTCGGTTCCGACTCAAGGCAGCCCCCCGTGTGCAGAGTAGAACTGGCCTCCACAGGGTTTTCAAGGGCTGTGATCTTTTGGAAGTAGGTCGTCAAGCCTGTCTTCTGGGGAGCCTCTGGGTGGGTTCAAACCACCAACCTTCTGGTTAGTAGTCAAGCACTTAACCATCTGCACCACCCCGGGGCTCCTTGTGTGAGGGTACCAAAAACAAAGAACAAACCCGTTGCCGTCGAGCCAATCCCAGCTCATAGCAGTGACCCTGCAGGACAGAGTAAAACTGCCTCAGAATTTCCAAGGAGCAGCAGGTGGATTTGAACTGCCGACCTTTTGGTTAGCAGACATAGCTCTTAACCACTGCACCACCAGGGACTCCTTGTGTGAGGATAAGCCTTAATAATTATCCTAATGTTTCTCCTTATTACTCACACTCATACTGCAAACCAGCCTTTACAGAAGGAAGCTTAAACCGCAAGTGGAACAAATTTATCAAAGAGTTCTTACCTCCTCATACCTGCCCCAGCTATCACACTTACTTTTTAAACTTTAAAGAGTTACGGGTCATTATTCATGGAACGCTACTGGGCCAAAATGAATGTAACGACACTGTAATACCCAATTATAAATAATTTATAATTACAGTCAAATGGGATTCCAGGAAAGCAGAGGCATAGCAGCGATCCATCCTCATAAAAATGTCAGGGTTAGTCTGGGTATACCATCAGGGTAAAGGCTCTAGCTAATGAATTGTCTTAGTTATCTAGTGCTGCTATAACAAAAATACCATGAGTGGATGGCTTTAACAAAGAAAAATTTATTCTCTCACAGTCTAGGAGGCTAGAAGTCTGAATTCAGGGTGCCACCTCCTGGGGAAGGCTTTTTCTCTCTGTTGATTCTGGGGGAAAGTCCCTGTCATCAATCTCTCCCGGTCAAGCAGCTTCTTAGCACAGGGACCCCGGGTCAAAAGGACGGGCTCTGCTCCCAGCACTTCTTTCTTGGTGGCATAAGGTCCCTATCTCTGCCTGCTTCTCTCTCCTTTTGTATCTTGTAAGATAAAAGCAGATGCAGGCCACACCCCAGGGAAACTCCCCTTACAGCTGATCAGGGCTGTGACCAGAGTAAGGGTGTTGCATCCCACCCTAATCCTCTTTAACATAACCTAACCTTCCTCATTATCCACAGGCAGAGATTAGGGTTTACAACACATGGGAAAATTACATCAGATCACAAAACGGAGGACAACTTCACAATACCAGGCATCATGGCCTAGTTAGTTGACACATTATTTTGGGGGGACACAATTCAATCTATGATATAAGTACTGTTAAAAGTCCTTTCCATTCAGGGTGCTACAAACAGCCTGGTATGTCTTGGCTCCTCCGGGACTCTGGTCAGTTAAACAGGACAGAGAATCAGAGATTCAACAGAGCAGCCTACCTGTGTCCTCGGATGTCAGACTGATCGCACACCCCTCCGAGTGCAATCCGGTGGAACTCTCGCCCCAGAGTCTTAGCCACTGACCTTCCCACGCTGGTTTTACCGACTCCAGGAGGGCCCACAAAGCACAGGATTGGGCCCTTCAGGTTGTGTCTCAGCTGTCTGACGGCCAAATACTCCAGCACTCTTTTCTTCAACTTTTCCATGGCATAATGGTCATTATCCAGAAGAATTCGGGCTGCCCGAATATCCAGACGATCTGTCAAGTAACCCAACAGAAATCATCTGAGCACATGGAATTCTGAAACAAAGAACTCCTTTCAAGCCTGCCAAGAGTCAAGATATTTTTTAGAAAAAAGATGTGACAAGAACAGACTCAACTGGATCCTTCTGAATGAGTCTTCAGGGAAACTCAGACCTGGTTATTCTGCTTAAGATTTAGTGCCTCCGGAAACAGAACGCACTACACAATTAAAAAGAGCCCTGGTGGCACGGTGGTTAAGCGCTCGGCTGCTCACCAAAAGGTCAGCTGTTCGAACCGACCAGCTGCTCCACGGGAGAAAGATGTGGCAGTCTGTTTCCATAAATACTTACAGACTTGGGAACCCTATGGGGATGTTCTACTCTGCCCGACAGGATTGCTTTGAGTTGGAATTGGCTTGATAGCAATGGGTTTGGTGTGGTTGGTACGCAATTAAAAACTCAGCAAGGCTTCATCATTATTATCATGTTCTTATCATTTCATTTGGAATGATTTTCTAGATATACATTATTTCTTATGGAGACATCATTTCTACATACTCTGTGCTGGCATTTGTTCCTTCTTTGAAAAGAAAGTTTTTTTTCTTATTACAGAAGCAATATATGTTAATTTCACATAACCAAGGGACAGTAATAAAAAAGAAAACAGTCATCCATAATCTCGTGTCCTTAAGACATCATTACTACCTTCTCTTTGGTATGTACAATTTCAGGCTTTGTGTGTGGTGTGTGTGTGTGTAGGCATGTGTGTGCGTGTACTTACATACTTGTTTTTCAAAATGGGATCATACAGGGCCTCCAAGTTTTGTAAAATGACTTTTAACCTAATGTATTACAAACATCTTTCAGTGTCCAATGTGTTTTTCAGTAACATTTTTAATGGCTACATAATATTCCATCATTTCATTATCCATAATTTGTTTAAACGCTTTTGCTGAGCATTTGGGCTGTTTACAAATCTCTATCATTTATAAAGACTACTTCAATGTGCATCCTTGTAACTTATCTTTACATATACCTGTAATTATTTCCTAGCAAAACTCCTATAAATGGAATTGCTGGGTCAAAAGAAAAAAAAAAAAAAAAAGTAAGCTCTTATGAAGACTTGCCTAATTCCCTATAGAGAAGTTGTCTCAATTAAGGTCTCACCCTAAGTGAACGAGCTAGGCTTTGCTGCTGGAGCCATGCTTTCATTAGGTTTACCAAAACGCTTTAGCACTTCAAATACTCACAGATTAAGCACCAGGTCACTGAAGCCAGAATGAATTCACCAGCCAGGTGGCTGCCGCGGAATAGTACACAGTCACATGATCACAGTGGCAGTGAAAGATGAGGGCGAGACAGAGGGCCAGCCAAGAAATAACACACAAGTCCACCCTTCAAGTCAGTTACTTGGCACCTGCTACGCATTTTCCTACAGGAAAAATGGCTTTAAATGGTGGTTTGGTTCCCAGGCTAATTCAAAAAAACCCAGCTAAACAGTTACATATATATACACATATGTTGTCGTTAAGTGCCGTCGAGTTGGTTCCGACTCATAGCGACCCCGTGTACAACAGAACAAAACATGGCCCTGTCTCGCGCCATCCTCACAATTGTGGTTATGCTTGAGCCCATTGTTGCAGCCACTGTGTCAATCCATCTTGTTGAGGGTCTTCCTCTTTTTTGCTGACCCTCTACTCTACCAAGCATGATGTCCTTCTCCAGGGACTGATCCCTCCTGATAACATGTCCAAAATATGTGAGATGTAGTTTCACCATCCTTGCTTCTAGGGAGCACTCTGGTTGTACTTCTTCCAAGACAGATTTGTTCGTTCTTTTGGCAGTCCATAGTATATTCAATAATCTTCACCAACACCACAATTCAAACGCATCAATTCTTCGGTTTTCCTTATTCATCATTCAGCTTTTGCATGCGTATGAGGCAATATATAATTTAATTACAGTACTACTGATATTTGCCAGATCTCAGGGACAGCCAGCAATGTTGAAAGGAAAGAATAACACTTCTTCCCACTTTCCTGCCTTCAGAACCCAATCAATGAGTATACGAGTAATTGAAAGACAAAGTTTACCAACTGTTTTAAATGCCAACCCTAATACTAAGCCAACCACGGTAAACAAAGCAAAACTTCAACCAATCCCATTTTGAATAGCTCTAAATATTAAAATGCTAATAAATCAAATCCATTAACACAATAATCTACTAAATCCCAGTGGGATTAACTTTAGTTATGCAAAGATGGTTCAGTATTAGGTTGCAGTGTGATTAATTACTTTTGTGTGTGGGCTTTCTAGCCATGGTCTTGTAACTTCTACCCAGGTGATTGTGTGATAGGGTAACTGTGGCCTCCGAAGGGGATTGGTCAGTTTTGCCTTAAAAGAGAGCCAATTCCAGAGCAGAGAAGAGAGCCCACCACCACCATCAGGGAAGGAGAGACCTGGCAGCAGAGACCCGGCAGAAGGAGACAGTGCGGTGGGCTTTCTGGTCCATGGAGAGAGAAAGCTGAGTGCCTATGGGCAGAGACTGAGGGCCAGGGAGAGGCATGCCCGCAAGCACAGCTGGGGAGAGGCTATCCTGATGGAAGAACTGTATCCTGAGTGTTCCTTATAATAAACCCCATAATCGTGAGTATGGTCTGAGTTGTGTGGCCACTGCAATGAATTATTGAACTCAGCAGAGAAGTAGAGAGTGCTGTGTGAGGGATGGTTGGTGTCAGAATTGGTAAAGATGGCAGAGAGAGGAGGCATGTCTGACCTCCGCCTCATGGGAATCAGCCTTGGGCTGTTGATCTTGATCCTCCTTTCCCCTTGTGAAGTTAGAGGAGGTCAGATACCACCCCCACGCCATTTTTACATAGGTTATCAATACATTACATCACCTTGTCAAAGGAGAAAAACTTTCCATCAAAATATTATCTTGTACCTAAAAAGGAACTTGTTATAACTCAACATCCATTCCTGATTAAAATATTTAGTAAAATAATAGAATTACACATCATTTACATAAAACTGAAAATACTGTGAAGAATTTTCTTCCAAGAAATATGCCAAGCAAAGACAATTTAAAAGTAAGTTCTTTCAAGGTTTTAAGGAAAAGTAATTTCCATGCTATATTGTTATTTTCTATCTTTTCTATTCAGGCTACATTTTTTATGGTTCTTCTTTCTAGTGATTTAGAGTACACATTTTCTATTTTGAATAACACTTGTGGGTTACATGTAAAAAAATTTAAAAACTTCTTTGAATGTGTATGTCTGTACTTCCAACTCAAAGAATGACCACTGGAAGGCAGTCTCCCCATTTACGATGGGAAAATAAGCAAACTCATTTCCTCCAACTCTTCCCCCCATCTCTACTTAGCTGCGTAAGCTTCTCTTTCAAGAATCACGACATTTGCATGGTTTTATAACCATACTCACAAGTACAGAGACCTACCTCTATGTAGTAATGGCTTAGAAGCTCAACACGACTCCCCCTATACCATGATTTACGGATCTTGAGTGCTTAGCGGGGATGCTAAACAATGAGAAGTATTTTCATGATGGGTACATAAGTGCCCATCTAACGCCAACACACACACTATATCTTAAGTACGGAAAGAATCCCAAGAAACGTTTTGCTTAAAAATTCCCAACATGTTGCTAAAATGCCTTCTGGCATGTAAGGCTATACAAGTCTGAGGTCCATTTGTGTTTTTTTTTTTCCTTCCAAGGAAATCTTTTCACACCTGTCTGACTGAAAATCCTTATATTCTCTATTTTCCATCCTTCATTGCATAACATCTTTTTCACTTCTTGTTCTTTCCCTTCCCATTCTTAGACAGGATTTCAAGTGGATCCTCCATTCTGACTATAGTTTCTACAAGGCTGACTGTGCTCTTTACTGCTCCTGATACATTTGAAAATTATTACACTTCTGGTTCCACTATATTCTTTCCTTAAACTATCCAGTCTATGTTTGCCTGCCTACAAAACTCATCTTATCTGTCATTTCTTTTTTTCACAGCTTCCATGTATGTATAATTAAAAAGCACAAAGTAGAGGCTGCCTTAAATGTTTTTGCTTCCTGCAGCAAATATTATTCAAAATGAGACTCCTTGTTTGCTGTGTACACCCACCTGCTTTCATGTTACAGAACCTTTTCACGGGCTTCTTACTGTTCTGTTTTTAAAGCTACTTAGACTTGGAGCCCTGGTGGCACAGTGATTAAGAGCTCAAGCTGCTAACCAAAAGGCCGGCAGTTCGAATCCACCAGCCACTCCTTGGAGACCCTATGGGGCAGTTCTACGCTGTCCTATAGGGCCACTATGAGTTGGCACTGACTTGACGGCAAGGAGTTTGGTTTTGTTTTCAGTCTTGAACAATCAAGAATCTATCCAAACCTGGTGTTTGTTTTTAAAACCAGGCGAAGAGAGTCCACTTGTATCCCAGCACGTCTCATCTGGATGCTGATAGTATCATCCCCTAGACCTGAAGTTGGAGGAAAAGTTATCAGTGATCAGCTGTCTGAGGAGAAGAGGGAGGAACCTCGGCTGTAGGCAACCCTCCCAGAAGACCTGCACAGGTTCTCTGCTGCATCAGAGCCCCGGAGCTTCAGGGAGAAGCACCTCCACGGCTATCTTTCTGATGTAGCCACTTAAGTCTTCTAACCAGCTGCCTTTTAAAACTGCCCCTGACAGTGACTAAGGGCACCAAACTGAGGATTCCTTAACCGTCTCAGCCTCCAAACAGAGGGGGGAACATGGACCAGGACCCCTCTACTTGTTTCGAGACTACACTTTTTCAGAGGGAGGATGTAAAGCAGCTCCAGTATAACCTACCCCAGTATCCTGCTCAATCCAGTCCCACCTGAACCTCATCTAGCTGAAATTCCACTTGAGTTTCTGGCCTGTGGGCAGCATCCTTCCCTCGTCATGAAGGTAATAGTGTCTTTGCCTTATTTTTATATTTTCTTGGTTATTTTGTTTAAATAAAAATTCGCCCAGGTATTTCTACG